CTGCCCCGACAGGTCAATACCGATGGCAAAGGAAATTTCCCTATAGACAGACTGTGCTGGGCCTCGTTGAGAGTGATATCTCGGCAGGTGGGGCGGGATGCGAGGGGGCAGGGGGTACGCGCCGTGGCGAGGCAGGGCTCGCATGTCGAGCCAGTGGGCCGGCGGGGCCCCGCGCCGAGGCTAGGGCCCTCCGAGAGTGGACTTTGCCCTGAATCTTCCGTCGGGGCCGGGGCCGGGGCCGGCGAGCAGGGCGGCGCGGGGGATAGGGCGGGTCGGTGGTCGCCTCTGCCCTGAAGGCTGACCCCCAGGTCGTTACCGACGGCGCTGTTTGTTGGCCAGCCGTCGCCAGCGCTCGCTGCCCCGCTGCTGCCGTCCTCTCGGGCCGGCCTACTTTGGACGCCGTTCCCGGCGTTCACAAGCCAGGAGAGTCACTCGCGTGACGTGTCGCGTCGCGGCGGCGTGGCCCGGGGAGCGGCGGGCTGGCCCCGGCACAACACGGCAAACCTAGGGACCAGGGAAAACACTCCTGTTTGCATAGTGGGGGCGACCTGACCTGCTGGCGAAGGGCACGTCTCCGACCCGACCCGAGCACCTCGGAGAGCACCTCGCCGGGGACGTAGCCGAGCACCTCGCGCAGCATCTCGAGCAGCACCTCGCGCAGAGGTGCGGCTGACCGAGCTGACCCGACAGGATTAGGCGGGGCGGTGGGGAAGCCACTCACAGCCACACGTGGTGATAGAGCGTCGCCTATGAATGAACGTGGCGTTTATCTTGGCGCTGCTGGCGCTGCTAGCCATGCTGGCGCTGCCGTGACGGCGCGCACCGCGGGCACCACCGCGGCCCGGCCGGCGGGGGGCTGATAGCCATGCGGGTGTCTGCTTACAGCGGCGGGGGACGGGTAGTGTGCGTGGCCAGCAGTCCAGGAGTGCTGCTCGGTAAGTCGGTCCTCAACCGGAAGCAAAAGCGCGCGAGCAGCCGAGAACTTTAGATAGACGCTAGCGTGTTCGCGCCGGATGCAATCCGCGAGGCATGTGCTTGCACACCACGTGTGCGCGGGCGCCAGCGGAAGATTTGAGCCGGCCCTAGCGCCCGGAGCGCCCGGAGCGGCCAGACGAACCCGGCGCAATGGGTCGCCCTACCGCGCTGTGTACGTGCGCGGCCCCCGAGGGGGGTTTATCTAGCGCTCAGCTGTTGGACTGTGAATGGAGTTTATCTTGCGGCCACCGCTGCAGCGCGCCGATAGGACTCGCCGCGATAGGCCAGGCGTAAACATGACCTGGAGGTTGAGGTAGACACCTGTGCGTGCGCCAGGGGGGCCGGGGGCGTGGCTGGGGCGCCACCGGGGTGGGGGACGGGGGCGAGGGGCGGACGAACGCGCGGGGCGGGACTTGGCCCTGAGCCGACCGCGCTTGTGGAACAGTTGATAGTATATGCGCGGATCGTTTTTATTTCTTATCGTGTGGGGGAGTAGAGCAGGCACTGAATGGGTACGGGCCAGTATGGGCCGCATTAGATCGAAATAGATGCTCTCGTGACAGCGGCATCACGTTTCGGTGCCGAATCTTCGGACACGTATTTTTTCGCCACTATCGGTATTGTGCTACTTGTTTTAACTAGCGTGAGATAAATATTATCTCATTGCAGTTGCCCGCGCTCACTTATCGTTATTACGGCATTATACACAAAAGCGTGCGCCCTCCTGATACCGCCTATCTGCACTGTCAACCAATAGAAATTTTAGATAGTGAAATTATCTATAATTGTGTAGGTCAGTTAAGTGTACTACATGGGGGGCAGCGAGAGGTGGATCGGCTTCACATAGTGATTGTATATCCGCACACCATGATAGCGATACAGCAGGTTCCTCCGACGACGCGCGTTTCGTTTGTTGACATCTGTGAATTTTAAGTTTGGCGCTACAACTTCGTACGTTACGAATTCTCCCTCCTCCCATTGAGAATATTTTTGGTGGCATGAAATTAATTAGTTTTCTGCGGCCACAACCGGTTTGGAGACAGGGCCGGGCCCCGCTCCAGGCCACAGCAGCCGCAGCCACCCCCGCGCCCGCGGCGGGAGCGGCGGCGGGAGCGGCAGCGGGAGCAGCGGGAGCAGAAGCGCAGAGGGAGCGGGCCGCCGCGAGGCGTATCCCCGCTGCTGCCGCTACCATGGCGTACCACCGCCGCCCCAGTGGACCGAGCTGCTGGCGGCCCGCGCCCTCTCGCGGCTGGTCCCCCAAGCTGCTGGTGTGGCGGGCTGACCTCGCGACACGGACGGGCCCGCCGCGCCCCGCGGCCCCGCGGCCCCGCACCCCATCGGCTGCGCCGCGCGCCCTGCTCACGCAGACCGAGCGTCTCATCGACTTCGAATTACACACATTATGTAGAAATGCAGCAGCGCA